CCCCAAAACCCCAAAACCCCAAAACCCCTATTTAGATAAAAATTATTGAAAAATGAAACCTCTCTTATCCCAGAAAGCTCAAGGGTAGTTTGTTTAGACCAGATAATAGGCTTTCTCAATTTTATTGGAAGATAACACATCTGATTAGTGTATAGAACGATCAACACAAATTCACAGTCTAAACTGCCAAACGTATCAAGAGGCAACGGTAAACTATCTTCTTTAATACTCCCAATAACATTTATTAATGAAAATAGGGCTCCGAATGCCTAAAAAGCTGCCTCGTCAAAGCTCGAAGCATAAATAAGCATCTAGATTTGAGTAAGATTTTGGGTGTTTAGAAGCATGATTTCTTCTAGCAAAGTATATAAACCTTCGGGTTCCTCCTTCTGCACAGAAATAGGAAGAGGATGATCCAACTAGCTTACAACACTCATGAAGAGAGAGCTTATATGAATAATCTAAAGAAGGAGCTGTAAACTTAAGGTTTATATAATATCTTTAGTCTGACAAATCTGGAGAGAGAACCTGCAAGGTCAACAATCAGGAATATATAACGAAGGAGTCTTATCAGAACAAGCCAAAGAACCTCCCAAGACAATGGAGCGCCAAACAAAAGCTGCCAAAGAGGAAAATCTGTCAAAACAAGGTATAATATGTGTAATTTTGTAGAGAAGTATCCAGCAGTAAGGGCCTGAGATTATGTCTAGGTGCACCACTGCCCTTAATTTTCACTCTGTCGACACTACAACACTCATGAATCAGAAGAAATCCTCTCTGAAGAAGTAAAATTTGACCTGAAAACTCTAGAAAGCCTCTTTTATGCCAAAAATCAAAGAAAAATGTAGTCATACTCCATAAGAAGAGTATGGCTAATAGCAGAGTTTCATTGAACCACTGAACTAAAGGTACCGAATTTGGCTAAATATTAGGCGGGCGCAGGAATATTCTTTTAGAAGATCTCAAAACTCAAGATTTAGAGCAAAAGTATCCTACAAAAACACCTAAAAATGTTGGAATAAGTCAGGAGATTACTAAATAAGTTACTTAAGAATTTAGCCAATGAAGATTCTGATGAATTTTCTGACTTTGAAAGAGCCGATAGCTTAGATCTCTCAGACTCTAAATCTCAGAATTCCACATACAAGTACTTCCCTGGTTGATACCTTTAGTCTGAGAAATACAGGACCAAAACTCGGGCATAAAAATTACTCATGGACTCGTTAGTCTTCTTTAACAAAGTTTAGGGACTCTTAATAATTCTGGAGGGTTCAGAAACAAAGGAATAAAAGCAGCAGGAATGACCTTCACCGAGAAATTATCAACCAGTAAAAGTCTGTTTACCAAATAGTGCCCAAGAATAGCCCATTACTTAGAATATTCTTGAAGAATTATGCTGAAGAAGATGAAGAAACTACTAATATGAAATAACATAGCTATTAATACTCAAAAGAAAGGTAAGCATCAGTTAATTTTGACAGAGAATCTCAACACTTATGAGAAAAGACTCCAAAAAGACAAAGAAAAGCACAAAGAATGGGAACGAACTCTTCCTCTCAAAGACAGATACTTGAAGAAAAGTATGCAGTAAATTCCTTAATTGTAGACCCTTCTAAGAGAAATTTCCAAATACTGAAACTCCAAAGCCAGAAGCAGAAGATCAACATGAGAATGACCTGGCAGAAGGCTCTCAGTAAACCAAAGGAGGGATAGGCTCAACTCAGGCTTCTCATGAACCCGCCTTTATTAATAAAATGCGTGCTTAATCATTAAGACCTTATTGATCTTCCAAAAGTGTTCAATTACTATTCTAAAATCTGGGGTTTTGGGGTTTTGGGGTTTTGGGGTTTTGGGG